TCAACAGCACGAACTGCTGACTGCCGCTGGCACCGCTCCTTGATTGTTGGTGGCACAGCCAAGCTTGCTCACGAAGGTGTTGTCTGTTAGAACCAGGTACCCGTGGTCACAAGCACACCGAGTGTAAAGGTTACGGGCTGCGCACCATGTTGAGGTTGGGGTCTGCCCCCATCGTCTTCACCACGCTATGCGCTTTGAGCGGGATCGCCACGGGCAGTCCTGCTCTTATGTCTCAGCAGCAGTGGACAGATGCACGGTTGCATGGAGTGCCAGTGCTACCGCTAGTACAGGGAGCACGAGGTGGAGCGGGTCAAGACGGTGTCCCCAAAGAGGTATGACCTACAGCACTGACCAACGGGTTGTTTTCGGCCCAACAAAATGTACCGCCGTACGTCGCACAAGATACCATACTCCCTGGACCGAAGTTCAAAGCTCGATTGATTGCTGCAGGGAGAAGGATTATTTGGAAAATGAAAATTGTTAATAATCAGTGTTTTTCGTTTTTTTGAAATGCTCTTGACGACACTGCTGTGTGAACATTTCAACGCGGCCATATGTCCGTCGCCATCCACTGCTGTTGTTGGTATGCATATTGTTTGGTTGATCCGTCATCGCGGTGCGGATGAATTGCTTCACCTGCTCACCGGCATGCAACAGCAGCAAGCCCTGCATGTAACTATCATAATAGTACGTACCAGTAGGCAGACGACGGTTCATCGTTGAACTGGTAAAGTAACTGCTACGATGACGGTTAATTGTTGAACTGAAGTAGCGGTAGTAGCAGGTTTCGTTGATTGCGCTTTCCCCCTTGAGTTTTTTTTCTTCATTTGCTGCTACCTCCGAGTACACCTGACATCGCCATCACCATCTACATGTCTCGTTGAGCAGTCACACGACGTTCTGTTCGAGAGGGATGAAAAATATTTTAACAGAATGACTTGACCCGGTTGCAAGATTTGAATCAACCTTTCGCAACGTTTTCAAGCCCACTATGGTGTATTTAACTCAATTCTGATTTACGTGGCTTGGAATAAGGACCCGCCTGGCCCAGAGGAAACGAGGAAGCTACCATGTCAGGCTCCGCTTGCATTTCTGATGTACATTCTGTTGCCTACATGGGAGCGGCACGTAGGAAAAGGTGCTCACCACTAGTCTAACTGTAGGGACGCGCACTATCAAGGCTTGGTACTCCCCCCACACCCCCACACCCCCGAAACCAACAACATATTTCGCGAACAAACCGTTGCTGTGTTTCTTTGCCATCGGCAGCGGAGTGCCTTTTTTTGGAATCAACGTTTTAATGTGAAGGCACAACAACAACGTAGCGTAGGTCGCCCACCAAGCAGTTCGACTTGTGACTTAAGCGATTGTCATCTTCCGGGTCTGCCAGCGGGTATCGATAGCACTGCTTGCTATGAGTGCCCGTCGCACTACTCTCAGAATTCTACAACAAGCAGCAGTCAGGGTGTGCCCGTTCTTCGGTGTTGTGTGTCCCTTGAATCGAGAGAGCTACACGGCGCGTTACGACAACGTCACTGTCCCAAGCACTGATCAATCAGAAGGCAAGCAGCAGAGAATTTCAGACTGACAGCCCGCCGCCGTCGCGCTGCCTCGTTGTTTGATCGCGGCAGCTAGGGGCAGGGCTACGCCCTCGAGAGTCGTACCATCTGTCCCGCAAAACTTTCCACTTCTCGACCATCATGGCGTTCGCCGTCGTCTACAGCGCCAAGCTCTCGCAGAGGGACTTCGCGAGAGGCATGGCGGCTCTAGATGCGTGCGTGCTCGCGGGCGAACTGGCCAGGCTGCGAGTGGACGTGGTCAACAGAGCCTTGTTTCGGTGAGGGTGCGGTGCGAGGCTTAGCAACCAACATGCAGCTACAAGCTTTTGTTTCCCCTGAGGACTTGCTTTTCGCGGCAAGTATTGAACGGGAATGCCTTTACTTTGGTGTGGCCCATTAATGGAATTGCCCCTGCTGTCCTGCGCATGTGGGGGTATGCCTTGGCGGACCGATTCCGCAGCAAGTGCTGCGAATGCATGCGCTCCACCTCAATTCCTCGCTATCCGCCCTGCATCGCAGGGTGTTCGGTGCTTTCATGCGGGCGCATGAGCTCAAGAAGTTCAGCGGAATCATGTAAGCGATGATCGAACCATTTTAAGTTGGGATGGTGTCCTTTTTGGAGTGGGTACATTGATTGGAGGGCCGTGAACTCAAGGCTCCCAAAAACTATATTCCGGACGGTGTTGCCTATTTGGGTGTTTCCCTATGCGATTATTGCATCGTTGGATTTCACGTGTACTGCACGCTGTACCTGCAGTGTCATGCCAGGTGAGCATGGCAAACAACCTTGTGCGCGGTGATCACCTGCGCCTTCCGGAGAAATTGTTTTTCGTCTTCAATGTGCGCATGCCGGTTGCTGAGGATGCAGGTCGCATCGCTGCATATGTGACGTTGTGCGGATCCCAACTAGCCCAACCACCATTGTTCCGCCGCACAATCGGAATGCTATCGGTAGAAACGGCGGAGCCCCCTTCCCCACCTCGCAAGAGGGCACTTGGCGTGGATTGAAGTACTGGAATCACCTCCCCCGCGCAATTTTTCGGGAGCTTAATCCGGTCTGTTCAAGGCGCTTATTTTGTAGGACTTCGTATGGTTTTACATCGGTATGTTGCATGTTGTGTATCCCGTGGTGTAAAAGCATATAAATCCATACCATTATTTAGAGATAGGAGTATGTATCTTACATGCAATGTGACCACAGTCTAAAACCCACATATGAACTGTATAGTTTTATGGGATAGTATCAGGTGTATAGGTTCATGTATAACCATGCTCCATCCTATACAATATACTCCATCCCATACAATATACTGTAGACGTCCCCCACCCCCACCCTTCTCTCGATTTGGTCCCTAATCTGCGTGCCCTCTTACACCTCGATAGATGCCCCCATCTACAAAACGTACACGTTGCGAACCGTTTTTGCCTGTGGCATTCGAGTGAACAGTCGAGAGTCCACATCGTTCTTTTCGGTTGCAGCGCATTGCTCGCGCGCACAGGTAGAGGGCTGTAGCAGCTTCCATCAAGGGTTTTGTGACAAGACGTCTTGATCCCGCCGCCTCGAACCCTTGCTCCGCCTTTCCTGTATCGCGCACGGCATCCTCAGGTACTGCCTTGCAGGTCTCGGGATAACCTCGGCGATATTCCCGAAGCACATCGCCCTGCTGGGAATGCTCCAACTCGCCCTTGGCGACCCCGTGGCCGCGCTCTGCGGACACGCCACTCGGTCCGTCAGTTGGTCTCGATTGGGGACCGGCAAGGGCCTCCTAGGGGCTCTCGGCTGCGCGACGGCGCTGACGCTAGCCAATTCCTTCGTGTTGGCCAAGGCAACGTTCGAGTTAGGGGCGCCGACGCTCCGCCGAATCGTTCTGGCCGGTGGGATGATCGCGGCGTGGGCGGCGGCGGTGGAGTTGAGCGTCCCGAGCCCCCAAAAGACGCTCCCCTGTAAAGGCTTCCCGCTGGCGTTCGACGACAACGCGGCGCTGCCGGTGCTGGGCGCGATGGGCGCGGCGGTAGTGTTTCGTGTGCTCGGGTTAGGGAGCTGCGAGCTGCGACCATGGCTGTTTGGCTGAGGATAGGGTTAGTTTCTAGCGTTTTTTTAGTTTTTGAGGTAGTTTTTAGTGATGTTCGTGAATGGAGACTGGAGGAGCGGGTTGTCTTGTGAAATCTGTGCGGGCGCGTTGTGGGTAGGTACAAGAGCAAATTTTAGAGAAGTTACGGTGGAAATTTATGTGCTTTCAATAGCCACCGTCTGGTGACGCCGTCCGAAACGGGGCGAATGAAGGAGGGTTAACGTTCGAGTAATGTTAGTCGGGACAGCATTCCCCCGCCTGCACGTGCATGTGCATGTTTTTCGTGTTCGACCTGCTCCTCACGAGAAGGATGCTCGGCTCTCGCGCTTGCGTTCGCGTGGTCTTCAGATCCAACAACTTTGCCCCCGAATCGTCAAGGCCTTGTAAAGCCATGCTTTTCACCGCCGCGGCTGGATCGTTTCGGCACCGACTCGCTTTTTTTACTATTGCACGGAAGGTCATGTTGAAGGGCGACACAGGTTTCGATCTGGCGGCGATGGCAAGAGGATAACATTGGAGGTAATGCAGATAGGCATGCCCCGTAGCCCTAGCTTCTGCATGAGGACGTAGCTCGTTTTTGTGAAGGATTGGACGATCGTCCCGGCTAAAGCTCCTCGTGGTTCGCTAGTACACCTTCGAATCAGGCGCACGTGGGATCCCAGACAGCAATCGTTGCAGGTATCCCACAATGCTTTTGACAGCACATACGTAAGAGCAACACACGCGCGCTTATTGCAAACGTGCTTTGAGTAAACACGAGACACCAAGGGTTCTCCGTCTAGTACTTTCAATTTGTGATTCCCTACAACCTACATCCTCTTCCCAACACAGCATTTTACAACGGAACGGCCCTACACATCTAGACTTTGACGTTCACCATACACGTACACGCGTGGTGTCAGCGTGTTCATCGGTGCGGCGGCTGTGCAATCGCGCCACCATACATACTACACTCAAGCCGACCGAGCTAGCGTTGCGGACATGGATGCCGACCGAAGCTTTACAGCATCTCGTATAAAGAGCCACCAGACGCGCGGCTGGTGTGCCACAACAAAGCCCACGTAGCATACGTATCATGTCTACACTCTGAAACACCAGTAAATTTGACACGCTCTTGTCCGATCGTGCGGCATCCCGCTAAGTCTCTGTCGGCCAACAGCCCGCAAGATGATCAACCTCTCGTCTCGATTCCTCCTCGGGGCAGCTGCCACACAAAAGCTGCCCTCGGAGCACATCAAGCAAGGTCAAGCTATGCACATATTCTAGTCCGTCCACACTAGTCACGAAGCGAAATCTCCGGCAAAATGAGCGACGACATCGATCCACTGCATTTCCCATAGCGCGTGAATGAGGCCAAGTTTGATTTCCCCTCACCATTAGGCAGGACAACGGAGCGCTTTGGCACGTGAGCAGCCGTTACTGCACCATCCCCTATCGAGCGACCTCCGGCTGCAGGGCCTGCCGAGACCGAAGCGCACGAAACGCGGTGCGGCGCTACAGCTAAGAAAGCCATGCCTCCCCTAACACCACTGGCGCCAGCGGAATGTCACACTTGCTTTACGCTGTTGTCGCCGCTGGTGCTGCTGCGATCCCGTCCGCTTTCCCGCAGCTAACCTGTTCCGCCACCGCCGCCACTTGCGTAGCACTTGCTGGTGCTGATCCGCTGTTGGGCAACACCATCGGCTGGATGTTCTCGTTTCGGTCGCTCGCCGCCGACAGCACTCGTGTTGACAACCCTGCCGCTAATGGCGTGGCCGCCGCCTCTGTTGCCGCCGCCGCCGCTACCGCCGCCGCCGCCCCCCTCATTGCCGCCGTCCCGGCCCTCGCCTCGTCCCCTGCAACGTCTTCCATTTCCTCGGCGCCGCTGCTATCCGCGTCCATGTCCGCATCGGCATCGGCCTCGTCGGCCATCGCGTCCCCTGAACCGTCGGAATCGACGCTCTCGTCATCGTCCCCGTCCGATCCCATGCTCTCGGAGCCCTGTCGCACCACAAGAAATGATAATCCAAGGGAGGGGGGAAGGGGCGATATCAATTTGGGGGAGGGGGACAGCCAAATACACTTGCTAACTGCTTAGAAAGCACGAAGGTACTACATGCCATCAACAACCCCGTCAATCTACATCCAGCACATTCCCTTTGTAAAGGCCCCACCGGCGGCGCCTGGACACATCGGGCGAAAGAGAAAAAAATGTGAACAAGGCTACCGGGGCGTTCTCGTAGTTCTTTTGTTCGCCGCCGCTTTTCTCGGTAATCGGGGGCGGGGGTTCACAGAGGATACTTCGGTATCCACAAACCACACCAAGTCTCACCTCTCCCTCTCCTCCTGCGCTTGCAACCGCGGCCGCCTCCTCTCCATCATCTACCCCGTTGTCCACCCCCATCTCGTCGTCCTCATCCATTGCACCGTCAGCAGCCGCCCCATCAGCACCGGCGGCGGCGGCGGCAGCAGCGGCGGCGGCAGCCCCTGCTTCCCCGGGAGCCGCGTTCCAGTCGATCGGGAAGCGCGTGACGCGGGGCTTGTCTGCCAGAATATTCCTTGTGATGTGCGCCGGGTCCAGCGTATCGGCTGGGGGAATACGTCCCTCCTGTCGATGAACAACACAAAATGGTGACAAAATGGGGGGTGGGGCAGCAGCGTTAGCGCTACAGCAACATCCCGCAGGCAGACATGTCCTCAACACGAAAACAACGCCCCTCCTGCCCGACGGTGGCAACAAAAAAAGTCAAATTGGCCACAGTACCAATAGCCAGCGCAATCACCGGTAGCCTGCGGGCGGGGCGCCGTCGGGGTGACAAACAAACGCCTGCAAAAAATGACAGTGCTACTTCCCTTGAATACCATCACCCGCTTCCCTCCCTCGACACAACCGGAAACGCGAAGAAACACAGAGGAATGCGGCACAACATCTTACGGAATCCGACAAGAAGCACGGCACACAAAAACGGCAAGCACCGGCGGGCGGAGGCGCACCTGGATCTCTGCGTTGACGGCGGGGTCGTTGTGCTCGTTGTTGACGTAGTAGCCCACGCGGATGAACTCCCTCTGCTTGTAGCAGCACGTGATGAGCGTCACCGTCACTCCCACCAGGTCAGTCGGTGGGATCGTGGCCGGGTCGGGCGATTCTGCGGCACATGAGCAAGGGGGCCGGGGGGAGGGGGGCGGGAGGGGGGCGTTCGTTTTCCGACACCCAAGTTTCCAACATGGAGGGATAAGGGGACAAGCTCAAAGGCAGTAAGCCAATAGCAATTCCGCGCCCGGGCCGTAATGGTGGTGATTGGTGGTGAGAAGGGGCAGACATGCCACCAAATATTTATCGTCGCAGCAGCAGCAGGAGCAGCAGCAGCCACGGCCCTCGTTGGCTTGTCGTCAAGAGCCGGGAGAAGAGGGTCGTTCATTGACAGGCCTCTCGGCAGGCGCAGCATGTACATATGTGCACGCCGTCATTGCCCACGCCATTCTACGACCATGCCGCTGGTGCTTCCCCCGGGCACAAAACTAAAAAATGCACAGCATGAGTAAAACAGTGGTCTTGTCCAGCGCCATCCCACCCCCGATTCGACCATCCAAGCCCCGCCCGCCCAACTCCGCTCTGTTTATCTCGTGGCACCTGCTGTGAGGACGAACTTGTTGACGCCGATCGGGATTGGGCCGACGTCGACTTCCTCGAGCACCTGGTCATACTGAGTATCCTCCGCGCTTCCGACGTAGATCACTTTCCATTCCAGGTCTGCCGCCACGCGACCCGCGGGCCAAAACACATGAAGGTTTGTTGTACGCACCGTACATAGCACCGCAAGCGGGGGGGCAGGGCGGGTGAGTTGGTTGTCGGGCGACAGGGACGTGACAGGTGGTTATTTGGTAGAAGTATTATTGTGGATGATCTCGTCGCCGTCAAAATGTGTGTAGATTTGCTACCACCGCCATTGGCTAAGAATTGCGAGCGCGTTGGCTGTACAGCAGTAGCGAAAAAACAGCTGCCTTGTGTCCGGGGCACTCGGTCTCTTCGCCGTCGCATGTGCGAATTGATTCGAGGAACCGCAGCAATTTTCTGGTGAGTAAGATTGCCGCACGTACGCATCCGCAACGCCACTGCAGTTTATTCACTAGGGTATGAAGGGAGAGGAGGCGAGACAACACAAACGAAAAAGAGGGATCATTGTGGGTTCAACCAAGGAGCTTGAAGGGTAAAATCACGGGTTGAAGACGGATCTGGTAAAAGGGATTACCATATTTAAAGGCACACTACATGCAAAGTCCCGTTGTTTTGCCATACTGAGAGGAGTACAATACAACCGAATATTCGGTCCAACTCGAGGTTGTGAACTGCTGTTGGGCAGGGCATCTGTTCGACTTCCGCACACACGACGTCCGCCAACGAAATTTTCACCGCGCATGTATGCACATGGTACGCCAAGCCAAAAATCAACAAAATTGGTATTATTCTCTGTTTGCTCATGGATGCACAACAAAATTGTTTCTTCCCGGAACTAGCGAAGACTACCAAGAAAACGATTGGGTTGTCGATTCGATAGAGGCTACAAAGCAATTCTACTACATCAGCCACACGCAACAAGGCCAGGTAACCTACTCACGAGGCTTCGTTATATTGTACCGGAGACGTCGCGATGACGCACAGAGCGGGGGAACAATATGGACGCGCCACCACGGCAGTAATTTTATATTTTTGACACATAATTTCCGTGCTGCCTAAAAGAAAGGGCATACGGGGACACACATGTACCACAATGATCTGCCCCTCGGCCTAAGAACTGCCAGAACCTTCGTGTACTGAACGTAAACATGCCTTTTGTTACAACGAGAGTAGAGAAAAAAAACAACGCACAACGGGCGATGTAAGCCTGGCAGGGAGTGAAGATTCGACCGCTGCATCATCCCTACAATACAACAGCCCGCTGCTGCTCCCGCTGCTTCACTCATATGCGTGCTGTCGTCATCATCGGCAATCCGAAAGCAAAATCGGTTCCTTCCCAGCTTTTCCCAGCAAGCCCACAGCAGCAATACCTACTCATCAACCAACCCAGAGAACGCTCCAGAGAGAGCATGTGCAGCTGCAGTACACTGCCAGAGAGACGGAGAGGGATTTCTCTGAGGGGTGGTACGATCAAGAAATTGGCACGCGCTAGAGGATCAACCGCACAGCTATTGCGGCGGTCACGCTACGCGCAGAACCAAGGGATAGCGACGCACCAACGCACCTCCTCCTGGGACCTCCAACCTCCAACACCGGCATTCAAAATTTGAAAAAAAACATCGCAGAAATGGGGGCCAAACCTTCCACCTTCCGCTGTTGTCTTACCAGCATCCAACGCTTCGAGGCATTCGAAGGTGACCTCGAAAGTGAGAGGGTTCTTGAAAGCGGTGGGGTTGTCCAGAACGACGACGTTGGTGACGTTGACGATAGACATGGCGTGCGTTTGTCACGAACTCTCTCTCCGGCGCTCCTCCCCCTGTCTGCCAGGGTGTCTCCCTCCTCCCTCTCTTTCCCGAAAAGCAAACGCTTTTTCAAATTTCAAGCTTGGCAAGCAACTGGCAAGACTGGACAAGCTTGACGGGAAAGGAAGGCGTGCCGATTGCAACGAAGAGTGGGGTTGTCGTGATCTTCTCCCGCGATTCAAAGTCTTGGTTTACTCGGGTGTCCAGTGTAGATCCTGAGCCGTGGTGGTGTTGGACTACAGTTGTGGCCCACTTGACATCTGAGAGGGGGGTACACAGACCGCGAAATATTTTCTGAACGGGGGAGGGGGGAGCACCGTGAGGGGAAATGAAACCGTACCCGTCTCAACCGCGCGCCTTCTTCGCTCGACGAACAAGTAGATCTATGTTGCGGAGCGGGTAGTCAAACGGATTTTGTGTAGTGGTATCACTTTTAGCAAAATATTGACGGGCTCCCCGTCCCTTGGCCGGTTCTATGGAAGCCTGCGTCCTCAACATTTTTTCCTTCCGAGCAGAGAGTCGCCTTTCAAACTTTTCACAACATTGAAAATTGAAAGCGAGGGGGAAGGAAAGAGAGTATAAGAGTACACGCACTCCTACGTAGGCCATGTCGGCTCACTACACGGGAGAGGTTGATCTGCAATTCCTGCGCCACGGGCAAGGACAATACCGATATCCCAACAGCGTTTTTAGGTCTGTGATGAATAACTGGCTTGTTGCCTAAGGTGCAAATGAGTTGGTCACGTTGCGTGGTATATGAATGTGCGCATGGTTGTTCATGTGTCGTTGTTTCTCTGTCTCAAACGTGGCTGCGCGTGCTTTAATGCACTGGCAGCAAATTTCTCAACCCATCAAACTAGGATGACGTGCGACGGTTCTCTTCGAGGGTTTTCATTTGCCCACGTCTTGCTGATGATGTGTCTCTCGCTGCTTGATTTCTTCTCTGGGCGTACACAGATACACGGGGAAATGGAAAGCAGGGACGAAAAGCGGGCTAGGCGTGTTCGAGGTCTTGGGGGGGAGCAGATACGAGGGTACCTTCGTAGACGGGGAGTTGGAAGGCAAGGGCTCAAAGCAATGGGTAGATGGACGACTTTACGAGGGAGAGTTTAACAGGGGAGAGGCCAGTGGGGAAGGGCATTTTACCTCTCCTTCTGGCGAGTCGTACGTCGGAACGTGGGCCCTTAACAAACGACATGGTCGAGGCAAGTTAGTTCTGCCCAATGGCGAAGGAAGCTACGTCGGAGAGTTTCAGAGGCACAGGTAAGGAGCCATTTTTCAGCGGCTGGGGGTTTCAAGGTGAGCGTATTCGACCACCCGGCCTCGGGAGGTTCCTTGTCTATATGTGGCGCGCCGCAGCGTTGTCTACACCGTATCGTGATTCTTCGACGACTCTTGTACACGAAGACCCTCTCATGGTAAACCTCGTCGTGCCAAAATGATGAACATACAAGCAGTGTATTAAATGCTGCACATGCAATAAAGTACACCTTTCCAGCAGGGCGAAAGTGACCCCACCAACTCCGATCCGCACTGATGCCAAAAAAGGTTTCACGGGTATGGCCAATTAGCTCTCGCGAGCGGCTTTCAGTTTACGGGGACCTTCTCCGGCGGGCTTCCACATGGTACTGGCGCTGCTGTATACCCTGGCGGAAGCTTGTTCCATGGTCCATTCGACAAAGGCCGAAAACACGGACGCGGAGGGAAGTACGTGTGCGGTGTCACGGGTATCTGCTGGATTGGTGAGTGGGTAGCGGGCAAGGCGAAGGGGTTGCCGTCGAAATGGGAACTGGAGCTGGACGGCGACAATAAAACCTTAGGGGGCGGAAGGGACAGCGTCGGCCAGGCAACGCCGGCGAAGCCTCGCGCGAAGGCAGAAAAGGGCGGTGGTGGGAAGAAAGGCGCCAAGATTTCCAAGAAAGCTGTTGAGGAGCCTGAGACGGATGCTGCCGACAAACTAGTGATCGCCCATGTTAATGACGACGGGGACGTCGCTGCTTTATGGTGTCGCTGTGTGCGGGACGTCCAGGTGTGTTGTTTTCATTTGGCGATAACATACTTCGTACGTGTTTCTCAACGAGTGCTCGGCATGTGCAAGAGCGCAATCTAGCTGCTGTTGAAGGTAGCGGGTTTCAGCATTATTCGGAACTTGTGGCGGCTCGAAGAATTCATTCGTCACTCCAAACACCGTCATCACGGTTAAATATCTCATTCTTCGCGCTAATCATCAACAACGATGTTCGCTCATGTTGTCATCGCTGGCTTTTGTCACCCACGGAAGGACATTCCCCAACCACCGCCGATACCTTCAGAGCTCCAAGAAGGTGTTGTTGATGAGTTGACACGACCTGCAAAGGGGCACCAGCGAGAAGTCGTGTCCGACGAGAGCGGGAGGACACTGACCGTCACCCTGCACGAGGTACGCACCTCTGTCCCAAGCTGTTGCCCTGCCCGTATCGCTCCAAACGAAAAGAAACCGTGATTACCGTTATATCGCAGATGGGGTTGTGCGAATCTAGTCGTGTTTATGCGTGGTTGCGCCTTTCAGCTCCGCCACCCTGCGTTACTAAGCTTGCGGTAAGGTGACCGCTTCTACGTCCCGAAAACCACGATATTCCGCCCGATTTTTGTCCCTACCACTTTCCTATGGGACAAGCAACGCAGGTGACGGAGTCTCCGCAACCGGGTTCGATCAGTGATCCTGTTCCGTTCTTCGTTCGTAGACCTGACGCCACCGATGTTTCGGAGAGTCTCGGCCGGTTCCCGGTAAAAGGGCTTATAGCACTGTTTCAGCGCGACGAGCGGTGCTACCCAAAGGAGACGACCGGCGATGGCAGGACTCTTCTCATCGTGCCCGGAGCGAAGCCGGCGCCCGACACCCCCGCCGAAGAAGCTGAGATTTCGCCGCCGGCCAAAGGAAGCAAAGCACCGGCCGCGAAGAGCAAGGGGGGCGTCAAGGGCGAGAGCGAGCTAAAACCTTTCGGGGACGATGGTATCGAAGGACTGTGGCAAGTGATCAGGAGCGAGGTTCAATCGAACCGCTGTCTCGAGATTAGGGCCGGGAAAAACTTCTCGCTTAGGACCCCACCGCTGTTTGACACGGGGCTCGGCAAAACAAAAGAACAAGAAGATGGAGAGAGGAGAAAAAGTGTTCTAGACTCTGAAGAAAACGCAGGTGTCCTTGAAGGAGGTGGAGTGCCGCCCGAAGTGGAGAATACGAGGGAAGAGGATGTGACAGTAGTCGTCCACGGCAGCTCAAAACCCGTGGAATTATTGCAACCGATCGAAAACGCTGACGGTGCGGGAGAGCAGCGCACGATGATGGTCCAGCAGCACTCCCCATTCGCTGTGTGTCTAGATTTCAGATTAGACCTGATGGAAGCCCCAAAAGGAGAGAGCACGGACGGCGAAGGCGGCCAGGAGAAACGTTTGGAACACGAAATGATCATGAGGATCGTCTTGTGCGGCAACGATGTTGAAGTATCTGCCGTAATTCGCCTCTGGATCCCTCCTACGGAACCGCCCGTTGGTGCTGCTGATGATGTCGGCACGGAGGCAGACCGCCCGGCGGAAATGTCCGGAAGTGGTGCTTCTGGAGCCCTCGACAACGCGTCTCCGACCACGTTGATCCCCCCTCGTGGCGGCGGAAATGCCATCGGCGACTCTAGCAGCCCTCCCACAACCCCTACTTGGTACCTCCACGCAATATCGATTCGCTGTGGATCTTTCGTTGGGACGGTGCCGTGCGCGAATCCAGAAGACCGCGCCGTGCGACGAAAAGTGCCCACTGCCTCTGCGTCGGAGTCATGGCCTTCGGCAGGAGCCGCACCTCCGCGGTCAGAAAGAGGCTTCGAATGCGACCTGGCCGAGTGGCACGCCCTCGCTCTCGTCGCTAGCCCCGAACGGGTGCTCTCGCTGTGCATCGATGGAGAAGAACTCGAATTGCTACAAGACGCGGAAGGTACTGCTGCTGCAGCCGGCATCGGTTACGACGAGTCGGAGCTATCGGCGAGCGATGCCGTGGTTTTGGGAGGTGGGGCGGGTGGGGAGTGGGCGAGTCTCGCGGTCAAGAACCTTGCTGTGTACAACGAATCGCCTGGCATCGACCAGCTCCGGGCGATAACGCAAGTATTCCGGGTGTGGAGGGAGCGGAAGGAAGCTGCTAGAGCGACTGATGTGCAGGAAGGTGAGAACTGGGAGGAGGAGGCTAGGAGAGCGGAGGAAGAGGAAAGGGAACCCGGTGCGTGTTGGGCGTGCCACCCACGCAACGAATCAGACACACTGCAAAAGCAGCGGTACTTTTCAAGAATGCGCACGACTACCGCAACGGCTACTTTTACTCTCGATCAGCGACCAACATTGAACACATCAAATCGTACAGGGCGCTCTTAATTTTTCTACATAGCGAACGCAAGGTTGAAGGCGGGCGGCCCAATTGTTGTTTTGCGTAAGAGGGCACATGTCAGGCGAAGCACGGCGAGCCCCCGTCTACTGTTCGCCAAACATCCTCCCTGTTGTATGCTTCTCATGTTGCTGTGTACGTTCGTCATGAGGGGCAGGAGAAAGACCGGAGTGGGTTGTGGGGGCTGATCGCGAAACGATCTTGCAAAAGAGAACCGTTCGCGGCGAGGCGAAAATAGACAAGATCGTATTGCCAAAGGTGAGAGAGGGGACGAGAGGAAGCGTGGGAGGGAATGGTCTCGACGTAAGAAAAACAATACTTGTTAGTTTGCAGGGACATTCCGTAGGTGAATGGACGTATGTAGTACCGTCCAGAAACAATAGAGCAAGACGTTCACAACGTGTGCCACTTTCCAACCACGTCGGTGTCCCTCCGCATTGCTCCTCGAACAGCGAGTCAGCAACAAAGGACGAGGCTACCGCATCACGTTTTCTCGCATGCATTGGATTTCAGCCGTTTCCAAAACGGGTCTGGAGCACTGCTGTCAAGAACGAACGGAATGACCCTCCAACGCCATTTTGCTAGCAGGTGGCACTAGAGGGAGGAGACTGGGTCTTGAGGGTGGAGGACGTGTCGCATGGCGAAGGTCCTGACGAACATGGGAGCACCGGCAGGGCAAGATCGGCGGCATTAGCGGAATCGTTCGTGTCGCAAGTCGTGGTGCCGGCGACGACGGCTACGGATGAAGAGCGCAACACGTTCCCTCCGCTACCCGTGGAGACGGTCAAGCTGGAGCGGATTTAGCTTTCGGCGGGGGCTTGACAGGTGGTGCTGACACATCATGGGCTGCGGTCTAGAGGTTATTAGCATTCGACTACAATGCGGAGAGAGTCGGACTGAAACATCAGAAAAAAAATGATTCCATCTCAATACGGTTGGTGTGGGGGCAATTGGCCATCTTCATGTTGTGCGAATAAATATCTAGAAACTCGGGGTTCCTCACGCGGGCAAAGGCCATCGATTCGATAACCCTTCTTCCAGCGTAATAAAAACATTACATCGCCCGCAGCGGCGATGTGACGAGAAGCAAGGACAGCCGCTGGTTGCGCTACACGAGGCGACCAGCCATCGAAAACAGCGGCAGAAGCCTAATAACAGAGCCACAGGTGGAAAGATGTTCCCGCGCTTCCTGCCCAGGCATGCTGTTCCGACTCTGTTGCGAGCTTCAGATTACGGTAGGACATGTTCACAGCAAATACTCTCTACCGTCTCTCGACCGGACAGAAACCGGGGCCCTCTAACTGACGGCGACACGCAACTGCCCTCTATACACACACAACTCTATTTACAACCCGGGCGTGCGTGAACATCTGCGCCTTGAAGAAGCACGCAAAATCGCCGAAGCTCTCTCTTGCCCGCGCCGTCACTCCAGCACCCACGCACGATACTGTCCCTCTGAGCCCCAGTAGTTTTCCGGCTGGCAGCGCACCGGCAGCGGCTTCCCGAGCGGGTGGAACTCTAGCGCCGCGCTGCGAATAAGGTACCTTTTTTTGGTCCCATAAGAAGGAGCGGAGGGGGGACGAGAGCACAACGGTGCGGAAGGATAAGGGCAAGCACACGCGGGTCCCTATCTCGACCTAACGGCGGGGAAGAAGGCGCCGGCCGTACACCGGTATATTGGCACGGAGAAAGCAACACCAACGTTCTTAGCAGTCGGACGGGGCAACATGGGGAAGTTGGCTGTACGGAACTCGAGCGCCCAAGGTGACAAGCTTAACCATGACGCTACCACCGTCTGTGGTACCTGGCAACTGTCACCACTGCCACCGCGCTACTTTCGTTGACTAGCTTGAGCGGCGAAACGCTCGTCAAGTCAAAGCTGTTACGTCAATCGTAACAAACAGCAGGGGGGGTGTACTCATAGTCGTGCATGCCGTAGTCGTTAGACCATTGACCTCGCATCCCTACAAAGCCGGGACGGAGCACGCCGGGTTCTCACCGGACCAGGCTCTCACATCACCAAGCGCGAAGCGCCGTGAGATATTCGGCGAGTCGCATGAAGGGTGCGCTGCATCCTGCTAAGGGTGTTCGGCATCTTGTGCTTACTTCCTTGCGTACGGATGACAGCTGCGTATGAATTAATTTATTTTCTGGTGCTTTCACTTCCAGAGACAGTTGTAAGCACTGTGTAACTGCCTCGAGGGTGCTTGACCATTTTAACACAACGTGGTGCGATCATCCCCCTTGCGCGGAGTGAGGGTTCACCCCGCACAACATGATCTACTCAACCATCATTATGGTTACCGCCCAAAAAAAATAAACGGAGGAAAAAAAAAAAAACGGTAACCTGGTTGCCGAGTTCACGAAGTGAATTGGCTTGTTTTACAACGTCGTTGCCAAGCGACGAAAACCCAATCCCGATGGCAAACACCGGGGGCGGCGGCTTATTCTGCAACGTCGTTGCCAAGCGACGAAAACCCAACCCCGATGGCAAACACCGGGGGGGGCAGGCGGCAGGGGGAAAAAAATTCGCTCCAAAATGGCCATCCACCACCCTCTCGCGCGACACTCGCTCTCACTAAGAAAATACCGTTTCACCGCACGAGCTCAAGAACGGCGCCCCTCTGGTCTGATAGGAAGTATCGTAGATCCGGACCGCGGTGCCTGCCTGCCCCTCTCGCACCTTTTGCCGGAAGGGGACCCCGCATCGCCCACCACTCTGCCAACGCGCACCCGCGACCGCGCACACGAGACAGTAGTCACCCCGTTTTCGGCGTCATGCTCCTCGACCAAGTGCTCGTCATCGCAGGGCTCCGCAAAGCTGGAAGACCGCGGATGACAGGCCGCCATGCGGATGGCAGGCCGCCACGCGTGTGTGTGGGTGAACGTGGTCAGGAAAAAGAACGTGGCGGCGAACGGGCAGCACGGTAAGGCTGTCGATCAGGCTGGCGGTCAGAAGTGGACACCGCAGAGCAGGTGCAGCGCGGCGATGATGAGAAAGCCCAGAGTGGGGTGGTGGATAAGATTTGAAAATCTTGAGTGGCCTTAGATGTTAAGAATGAGCCCAAATCTTGTAGAACGCGCCCCGCGGGGGGCACATACAGCAACTCTTCCCCTCGACGAAGAGAGATTCGTGGGCGACTCAATCGGCCGGAAGCTGTTGCAGTGCTATGAGACATGACGCCCCCTTTTTCACCTTGGACAGTCGTCCTCTGCTCTTGGCTCCAACTTCCAACCGGAGGTGAAGAGGGGTAGACCCCCCACGGCGCACGCATAGAGGCCCTTCTCCCTTTTGCCGAAAACAGCCCCCCCGAACAAACCGCCCGTCATCGGAAGGGCACGGCGAGGAGAGGCGGAAAAAACGGCCATGAGAGGGTGCAATATTTTTGACATCACGGCGTGAACTATTTCCGAGGGCATTTTATGCGTCGAGTCTCGTACTACTTACCTCTCGCCTTGCTAACCAAACACTTCGGATTCCTCCATCTTCAATCACCACTATGCCGGCCCGCGGAATGTTCAAGCACAAATACACGCACCGGCCCCCCGAACAAAAGAAAGTGCTTGCAGCGGCCATCACTGAAAAGCAAAACTTTTCTCGGGAACGGTTATCCTGCTCTCAGTCCCTCACGAGATATTGCCTTTCGGGTATCTAGCCCAGCAGGCTCCTTCACCCTAACGATCTTTCCCGCAACACGCCGCCGAGAAGTACTGCTGGGGCAACGTGGAAGCGCGCCTGCACTTACTTTTTTCTTTCTCTTTTTCACCTATGGTCGCGCCAGCCTCGACTTGCTTCATCGTTGCCGTCGTCATCGTCGTCGTTGCCGTGATCGTGCCGAGCTTGAGAGCTTTGTCTCTCGTCTTCGATGGCGCCTCCGAACAACACCGCCTTCGCTCTGGGCGACAGATGAGAGGCCGCCGCTTGCGTCTTTTCGGGTAGAGTGTTTGAAACGCGAGGTACGAGGAAGGGACGGCGCGGACAAACCCAAAACCGGCGTCGGCGAGGACCCTGGTGTAGAGCATGGCACGCGGGTTGAAAAGCAAGCTGGTGCTCCAGCTACAAAGGCTAGCTAGTGCTCCAGCTACAAAGCAGCAAAGAAAGGGGAAAGACGTGCAGTAGCTGCTGGTGGGCAAGATACTCGCTGCACGAGTACCTCTGACAAAGAGTGGGGAGACGGCGAGGTGTTTTCGTGTTTATGAACACCACCCTGCAGCTACTCGTTGGTAGGGTAAGGCCATATGGATTCGACCACTGCTGCTAGGAAGTAGGTCGCCGACTGGATCTTGTGGTGGCCGGCTGGATTAACGAAAGAGGTACTCATGGTTGGATGCAAGCACGTATGTACGTGCATACAACTGAAATCTGCCTTCGCGCCTAGCAACGTCGCTGAACAAAAAAAAGGAAAGTGTGAACCATCTCACTTCTATTGGGGTGAAAGGCGTCAGGTCATGCTGACTTTTGGACAGCTTCGTGAACCTCGTTGCGAGGTACTCGTCTCGAGTTGTGAGCTCCTGGAAGAGAGAGTATCCATCAGCGGCGGGTGCGGCAGCGGTCGGCACGGGTCAAGGGATGGGGGTGGGGGGGGCGCGAGATCAGAGAACACGATGGAGTAATTCGTGTGGCCGTTCTGGTCTCTAGGGATGTTTCGACAGCAGTTTCCACAAGCGGCCTGTGTAACGTTTATCCATCATGTTTTTTCTCGTCAGATCTGAGACAGAAGGGCAGTACATGAAGCCACGGGGACAGATTTAACTTGGCGTCTGCCAATCAGCTGTCTCCATTTGACTTGGCGCCTACCGTAAATGACACAAGATAACACACCCCCTGGACCGATTTTCAAATCTCGATTTCTCAACAACAGAAAGAGTCACGGCGCCGAAAGCGGCGGCGTTGGAACCGTCTCCTCGAGAGCTTTCCAAAAATGTATCGTTTCGTTTATGCATCCTCGTTGTCGTGGAGTAATCGAGCTTTGAAAATTGGTCCAGGGGGTGTGTTATCTTGTGTCATATTCGGTACTTGGCGTCTTGTCTATTTTCGAGTAATTTTGGCAGTTACGCCGCTTTTTCTTTTGCGCGGACCGCATTCGAAACAACCAGTTCAGAGACTGACACACATCAGGCGGGAGCCTGGGCGATGCAACTGGCGCATACCAGACGCCAACAGCAGCAGAGACTACTCTGGTCTCTGTGTGCACGAAGTTTCGCAACAATCCACACTGAGTGTGAGATGACGAGCACGCAGCAGCACCCGCCAGAAGAGCTATATAGAGCGAGGAGAGAGAAGGAGATCGCACAAACACGCACGCACGCACACACACTCGACTCCATCTATCGGTGGGTTCTTGGGAGTTAACACCCCACCCAAAGCAATCGCCACCAATCATCCATCCCGACGCGTCCGTATGTTGACAACCCGCATGGCAGAAAGTATACACGGTGATTTCTTTGCTGCCCCGGTGACGGCACCTCTGGTCTGGTGTCTCCTTCCCTTCATTGATTCATTGAGTGAGGTGCAACTTTTTGAAAGCGCGTGGCCCGCAGATGAATGGGTTTCACCGTGTATTGGCGGGCTTCGCCCGCGTAATTAAACTCCTACAACTCTGTCCCGCTACATGCAAAAATTGTCAGCAGAAGCTCTCGTCGTCCGCGAGTCTACCTACTGCTGCTGTACTTAGTGCACGCACCGCCTGCTTTTCGATGCGTGTGTAGGAGTACGCTAAACTCATATTCTCTAGGAAGGGTTGGCTCTTGGGAAAGAAACGATGCGCGGAAGGTAAGGGAGACTCCCTCGCAACATGGCATCAAGGGTGTAACGCACATGTCATGTGTGCTGGAACAGGAAACGCGTGCAGAATGCAGGGTTCGGGAAAAACTCGTGCTGGCTTCATGTCTCAAAGCTTGAAAACCTTTAGTTCGGCCGGGGCCCAGAAGGATGACGAAGCGCACAGAAAATCTACAGGGGGCGGAGGCCAATACGTGTGGTTCATTGGGAGAACTGCCTGACCATGGTATGGGTGGACTCTGCTTGCCTCTTTGATCCCCTTGCGAGCGATCTCGTCGTCCATGCGCAGCGGGGAGACCCGCCACCGCCGAGCGATGTGTTGGGATATTCCTTTCGTGGAAGGAGTAAATGTGTATGCATTCGAGTAGAGAAACACGCCCAACAGAAGGACTGCGACGAAGGCCTGGGCGCTTGCCATCATGCACCGCACCACTAGGCGGAAGTGCGCTTGTGTGGGAGAGGGACAGCTGTGGTGCTGGTGTAGCACCGTGGCACTGCAGGGCAGCCGAGATTTGGAGCAAGGGGGCCGGTGGATAGAATTACAGGCTATGTGGCAAGATTGCTGTGCGCGGAACCGCTAGCCAGCCCCGGCGGCAAGCCAGTCCAGGCAATAAAACTTGCTGTCGGGTTAGTATTATCGAGAGATAGAAAGAGTGCAACCTGCTGGACAAACGATGATCATCCGAGTACGAACGCACGCAGGGGTTTGGCGGGTGAATGACGTGGCGCCGGACACGACGATCAAGGAGCTGAGGCAGAGGCTGAGCACGGAGCACAACGCCAACCTGTCGGACGACACTCGGCAACCCTTGACGATAAAGCCGAACCCCCGGGGGGACCAGGAAACGCTGGCCCTGGAGTCGACGCTGCAGTCACTGGGAATAGGGCACGGAGACATGATTCATCTCAACCTCGATGAAAGCATTCGGGATATGGCGCACGAGGTAGGGATGCTACGGCCTCCTGCTGGTAGTCCGAGTCTGTTTTGTGTGCGCTTTTCCGGTGTGTCTCCGCAATGCTGTGTACTCCTGGCCGCATTGCTGCTGCTGCTCCCTGTGTGCTCTTTGCTGCGGTGTTGTTTGGGACCGGGGCCCCCCTAGATGCGCTTACGTTGGATACGAATTTTCGGACGTAACCGGCACCCGCTGCACCAACGGGGATGCCTCTTTCGGTCCTTCTGGCGAAGACGAATTTTTGAATTCGCGAAGTTGCAGTTCTGCACCAACAGACTGACAAGTGTCCGTAACGCCGAAAGGTCGTTTTGTTCTTGTGAGGCCGGTTGCTGATTGCTGACCATGCCAGTACTTGCCTACGCATGGCCCGTAGTCGTGCACGAGTCCGAATCCTACGTGTAGATTCGTCTGAAGTCTGAAACACAGTCAGTTGATCCAGAATAGCTGCAGCAGCCACGAAGCTTTCGCCGGGGATATTCAAAATGGTGGATACGTGTAGATTCGTCTGAAGTCTGAAACACAGTCAGTTGATCCAGAATAGCTGCAGCAGCCACGAAGCTTTCGCCGGGGATATTCAAAATGGTGGATACGTGTAGATTCGTCTGAAGTCTGAAACACAGTCAGTTGATCCAGAATAGCTGCAGCAGCCACGAAGCTTTCGCCGGGGATATTCAAAATGGTGGATACTCTTTCAGTCTCAGTGCCCGCCCCGACTTGTGGTGTGCGTTATTTTCACAGCTGTTGCACAGCAGCAGCAGCAGCATCAGCAGTATCTTTGTGGGTTCGAGAGGGGTTACCTATAGCTCAACGTGGTAGAAAGCTTTGCACTGCTGTACCACCACACACTACACACCACACACCCGTAAGTGACAAAGACCTACTGTACCTACCGGATGCAGACGCTCTATTTACAGCACTGAAGCACCCGCGAACTGCTGCTGTTCCACACCCTTTGCTTCACACAAGGCAGAGATGTGTAGTCGTGGAGGTGAACCCCGTGAGTGTTGCAGCACGGCGCCACCAACGCTTACACGTGAGCGCTCGACAACGCAAAAAACGCTGTCACTCCTCGCAGGAGGCCGGAGGGCCGAAGCGCATCAACAAGGACGGCACCATCGAGCAGCAGTCGTTCGACGAGATCTCCAACAAGACGGGCTTCCGACCAGGAATGATGAGCCTCAGAAGGTGCGTATAACCGCTACCCTAGGCCTCCTTGTTCAGTAGCATTCGCAAGGATACAAGGCTTTGTTTTAGTTTGTAGGGGGTGTGGGGTAGGGGTTTGGGGTGAGGGATACGAACCCCCCCCCCGGTGTTTACCATCGGGGTTGGGTTTTCGTCGCCTGGCAACGACGTTGTAAAACAAGCCGCCCCCCCGTGTTTGCCATCGGGGCTGGGTTTTCGTCGCTTGGCAACGACGTTGTA